AAGTATTTATTATCCGGTGCCACGGGGTTCTGATTCGACGCAAAACAACAGAAAAGTTAAATTTTTGAAAAGCTTAACAGCGTTCCGCCTCTTTTTCTTGCCGATGTCAGTACTAAGAGCGGATTAGCCCTCCTCAACGTGGAAAACGCAAACGCAAGCTCCTAACAACCGTTTGGAAGAAGCCACCGCATATTTAGACATCGATAGGGATAACTTTCTTATCACACTTGTTCAGCCTGGATCAGATGACTTTCAGAAAGACGCCAAAAGGGCCGACATAAGAAGCTAAATTAGCATCACAAAGATGTCCGTTTGTCTGAGTCAATAATTCAAATCGAGGGTTTGACGCAATAGAATCAACTTTTTTTAATAGAAAATCTTGAATTTTGTACAATTTTTTGACCCTTCTTTGACAGAAACACACGTTTTTAGTTCAAATAGGTTCAGGACATAGTGATTTCTTTTCGGAGAAAAACAGCGTCAGAGGTTCCCAGAGGCGGAAGTGGAGTAAACAGGATTTTGAGCTGGGTCGGAAGCCGACCAGATTCAACTCAGCAGTATTTTGCCGATCGCAATTTATGCAAAATTATCGACATTAAGACCATTCAAAACGTAGACCAGGAATTATTCGGAATTCACTCAGAAAAATATCGATTCCTTTCCGACAATTAAATTTCAACAATAAAAAATGAGCTTCAGAAAATCGTTACAGTGATGGAACTCCTGAATAAACGAAAGGGAATTAGAATGACCAAAGATCGGAACTCCAAGTCAAATAGCTAGGGAAACTCGATGAAAATTGAGCTTCTTTTCTGGGCTTAGTGGGGGACATATAATACAGTTTTAGAAAGCCCAGAAGCTGGGGATCATTTTGACTATTGACAGTAGGGGTTAACTCATGCCCTGGGGCGTTTTGGGCCTCTACAAGACCCGAAAATCGGGCAAGTTTAGAAAAAGGGCCGTAACTTTTTTTCTGTCGGGTTTTTTGGAAAGCCGCTCTCATCAGTTTGTAGAGGAGGTTCTGACGCTTCAGAATCTGTGTAAAAAACCTTTGTCACCCCCCTATTCTAGGGGGGCTAGAAGCTCTAGAAGTTGAGGAAGTCATCCGAAAATCGGTACTATTATAGGAAAATTGGGTAAAAGTTAAATTTTTGTCGGAAATCAACAAAGGCAAGTTAGAATCGACTTCGCGTCGAAAAAATACAGTTTGGGGTCATTCGCGGTCACTTGGGGTCATAAAATGAGAAAAACTAGACTTTCGACGAAATTCAGTCCGAAGCATCTCAAAATGACTCCAAACTGTATTTTTTCGACGTTAAGTCGATTCTAATTTGGCTTTGTTGATTTCCGACAAAAATTTAACTTTTTACCCAATTTTCCTAAAAATACCGATTTTCGGATGACTTCCACAACTTCTAGAGGTTCTAGCGCCCCTAGAATAGGGGGTGACAAAGGTTTTTTACACAGATTGTGAAGCGCCAGAACCTCCTCTATAAGTAGGTAATGTTCTCATATTCTAAAGCTCGACAGAAAAAAATCTGGTCATTTTTCCGAGATTGCCCAATTTTCTGGACTTTAGACGTCCCTAAACGCCCCAGGGCATGTGTCAAACCCCTAACTGTCAATAGTCAAAATGATCCCCAGCTTCTGGGCTTTCTAAAACTGTATTATATGTGCCCCCCACTAAGCCCAGAAAAAAGCTCTTTTTCATCGAGTTTCCCTACAAATAGCGATCAACAAAAAAGAAAAGCAGCGCAAAAAGGCGAAATCGTTTTGGCCGTTGCTTCCTATTTGCGAAAATTGAATTTACGCGCTATGACGAGTGCGAGCACAGGGTTTCCGCTAAGGGTGTCGCTCCTTGTCATTCCAATTTTCATAAATGCGTCTTCCGCCCCTAAACAAAATTCGCCAAACCCACTTTGACGAGTTGTACCGGCTCACCTAAATTCATACTCGTGTATTTTCTGTCTGTTTCCTGTAAAAGCGTTAGGGTTAGGAACTGAACTTGAACTTGTTAGAGCACGACGTGCTCAAATTTATGATCGAAATGACGTGAAATGATAAAAATCTAATGGAGCTTGAGTACAATTGAGCACAGGCCGCTGAAATTTCCTTGAGCATGTTCAGTGCTCTAGCATGCCGATGCTCTCCACTTTTCAAACCCTGACTAAGTATAGGGTCAAGTAGTCAACGAATCCCTATGAAAAAACAATTGATCCTCGAATGCCAATAAAATTTTTTTCAAAAAAGGGCTCGATCAAAATGTTCTTCTCTGTTTTTGTGATAACTTTTTCTATTTATCGATTTTTCCTTGCTAAAAGATAAATATGCAGTCCGCAAACAGGGTGTAAGACAGAAAAACAGAGAAAATTTCATATTATGTTGTTAAATTGGAAAAATACCCGAAAACCCAAAATTCGGTACATTTTCGAAGATTTCGGCTACAAAATAATGTACCGAATTTTGGGTGTTAACTGTAAGTATTTTTGCTTGAGGGAGGTCCTGGAGGCGAAGCCCCTGGGTTAGGGTTAGGTAACCTCGTCACTTACAGATATGCTCCCTTGCGTTGAAAAATCCAATCGTGAAAACACCCGGCTCAGATTTCAACTTAGCCAGTTAAATTGTATAACACTATGAAAACGTTGGTCATAGGGAAGTCTAACCCTAACCCTAACTTCGGTTTAAGGGAGAAACTAAAAGTCTCTTCGTACTGTACCGAAATATTAATCCCTACTACCGATAATATAAAAGCCGCTACTCGACATTTCTTTTTACTCTTACAAAACCCTGACACATGTTTTCAACACAGGTTGTCTAGACTTCCCTATGACCAACGTTTTCAGAGTGTTATACAATTTAACTGGCTGAGTTGAAATCTGAGCCGGGTATTTTCACGATTGGATTTTTCAACTCAAGCGAGCATATCCGTAAGTGACGAGCCTGAGCCGGCTAATAGGCTTACAAGCTCATCAAGCGTCTTTTCTGTTACTTCCGAGAAAAATCAACTAAAATTGTTGTTTGTCGAGTTCAATGCCAATTTGCTCTCAACGTTCAAAAAGCGCGCAAAACGACTTGAGCCAAGGTATAGTTTGCTTTGGCGATAAGCGATCGGGGAATAAGAAGTGATTATGGCGGAAAGTGAGCCACGCTTCCGGGAGCTCTAAATTTCAAACGTGCTCAGTATATTTTTGGATCTTTAGAAACGCCGAGTTTTTGGTGCCGTGTTTGTTTTTCAGTTTCAATACAAATTTATGGTATGACCAATTTGCGAATGATGAGCTATGATATGATATCAATTTATAAGTGGTCTTTCACACTCTTTTTGAGAAAGCTGCTTAGGTGAAATTCGAACATAAGACCTGAAAAAGCAGTTTAGGAATTGGATCAGGCATTTTATGCAATAGTTTACCGTTTATTTTGTTTATAACTTATGGACTAAAATTTTTTGATTTTCAAAATCTGGGTACAGTAACCGGTGTAAAAATCCTGAGTCATGAACCATTATTTTAAAGACCCTGACTCAGGCTTTCTACACAGGTTTTTGAGCCTAAATTTTGGGACTAAGCGAATTTATGGAAGTGAATTTTAGGATAACCAATCAGATTATTGTATTTGAGCTACCGGCCAATCAAAACCCTGATCACTTTAATCACTCCCATAAATAGGTTTAACCCAAATTTTGAATACAAGAAAGCATAAAAATGGATGTCTGGGATATTTCATCCTACCTTATTCTCAATTCGATTGCTTGCTATTTTTCCTGACATTCGGTTTTTCAATGCTCATGCAAATAAAGAGACAAAGTTTGTTTTTGGATTTGAACAGTTGATAAGGAAGTTTATTTGCAGAAATGTACAAATGTACAAGTTAGAGAATTAAAAGCGATAAACATTATCACTAATCCTAGTAAGATCGAGTTGTCTATTGCAAACGCTCTTGCACTAGGCAAGGCGTCTTTTAAGGTTAACTTGTTAGCAAACATCGACCCTGGTCTTCGCCCAAGGATGATGTAGCAACAAAAGAAAATGTGGTTTTCAGGAGATTTTCTTCTTTCGTGCCAAGTTAAAAGCTTTTTGCAGGGTAAAAACAAAAGCGAAAAAGAACTCTACTAGCTCTTCTGATTCTAGCGCATGATTTATCATAAGGTGATCCAAATGATTTAAAGCAACTACAATTTTTTTCAGAACAATTTATGATGAAAAGACCATGTTGTTTTTTTTTTAATTATTGACTATGGTCGGTTTTTAATCTAAGATCTTTTAGGACCCTGACTCAGGTTAACAACACAGGACACCAGTAGAAGGGGATGTGTCTGAAACCGACAAAAAATTCGAAAAATTGTCGGTGGAAATTTTCGACCAATCAGAAGCCTGGATTCGGCAAACCGGCCAATCAGCAGCCGAGTAGCCGCCCACGCAAAATTTGTCGAAATTTTTGTCGGTTCCAGACACCATCCTCTGTATGAAGATAGGAAACAAGATGGTCTGATCATCAAAAAATTGTTCCGAAAAAGCTAGGTTAAATGCTGATTAATATTTATAACCCTTTACCTTTGATGAAAAAAATGACTCGTGCGTTCGAGAAAATTATTTAAAACATTAATCAGTTTCATAATAAAGAAAGATTAAAATTTAAAATTCGCGATAAAACAGTTTTGGGAAATGATTATTTACAATTTTTGAAGATACTTTGCCAAAAAGGCGAAAAAGCGTCAGAGAGATGAAGAAAAAAACGTTGGGACTTGCATAAGAATAAATAAGGCTCAAAATTCTGGGCTCAAAATTGAGTTCAGAAATAGGTGAGTTTGATCTATATTCCGAGAAGATCATAAAAGCAGTTCTCGAATGATAAATTCAATTAAGGGTATCAGCTCATAGCAGCTCGAAAAAAAGTTTTTCTTTTTAAAATTAATTCGGTTTTTGGTGCATATTTACAAATAAAGGTTTAATGGTTAATGAAAACTTGAAACTAGTAAACGGAGAAAAAAAGTATATCTACATCTATCTGTCCGACATATCGGAAATATCCGATAAAGTATCTTCGTCATCTAGCGAATCGCACTCGTCTAAGTCCTGAGACACGTAACGAAGAGCCATCGCCGCCAACTCCTGCAGAATAAATCGAAGTGTGCTGAAAATTTCGTTATCAACAATATTGTGTGAAGAAAATTTTTTAAAAGGCGGAATAAGGTAACGGTTAGGGTTTTGACTCGGGTTAACTTGATTTTAACCCTAACGCGTACCAAAGCCCTAATCCTTATTTTTAAAATCTGACTGACAAGACCTGATTGTATACTCGACAGTAAAGTATCAGTAGTTAGCGTATGAAATGAACAATCTTCTATTATGACACTTAGTTATTCGATGAAATTATTTATTATTAAAAAGCTGAATCAAGTTTTTGTCGTAAATTACGCAGAACAAAGCCGATAAAACTCGAGACAGGTGAGGGATTGGCTTTGTTATCTGATGCTCGCCTATGTATGTGATTTAGGATTTACCTGCACGTTGCAGGGAAACTGATTCCTCCTCCGAGCAAAGGAACTTTCTTTTCGAACTTGAGCAAGTCCGTTGGATCGATTTCAATTGACGCCTGTATTGAGGGGTTATCACTTTGTCGCTTCGTACAATATTGGAATGTTATTCTTTCTATGAAAAAGGCAACGTCCAAAGTGATAATTTGCGACCCCTTCCTGACGGAGAATCGAGTGAATGCCGGAGTCGTAGAAGATCAGGTCCCAAGCTGCTTCCAGAGCTGGATTGTTCTCGTCGAGGCAGAGTTTGTGCATGATGGCGTCGGTGATGCCAAACGAATGTTTGTAATTGTGACATTCGCGGCGCAACAGCTCGACATCCGCCGACAGCGCGAAGCCGGGAATGTCCATCACACCTGTGCATATAAAGTTATAACGCTGATCACGTGCTAATTGATTTTAATAATCGAAAATTTATGTGAACTTTTCTTTTTCAGAAGTCATAAAAGTTTTTGTGAAATGAGCCTTGCAATTTTTCTTGCGCAAAAAATGAAGTCTAAGCTGCCAGCAAAAATGTGTAGGGTGGTAATTGCATCAACAGTTATTTGCTAATAGTAGCTTGAAAAATGTGATCATGATTTCTTCTGTAACGAGCAAATAACTCTCAAATAGCTGAAAAGCAGAATTGCTAAGCCGCGATCTTGAAGCGGTATTTTGAGACTTGAAAAAAAGATAAAAAAAATTGTAATAAGAAAAAAAACTTGTAAGAGGAAAATTTTCGAACCTGATGCAACCGAAATTGCGGCGACCATCCATATTCGCGCGGCATGAGCTTTTTGCTTTTCGTGAATAATGTGAGGAGTCAGCGCTGGCAAGCAAATATTCAACGATCGTCGTTTATTCTTCGGTAGCTCATCTCCGAGAGCTGAAAATGTGGTCAATAACAGACGGATCATGTTCTTACGATTAGAGTTATTAATTTTTATTTGTTTTTAAGGGAATGAATCTTTATTTTCTAAATTATCGAATTATTTAAAAAACAAATTCTTTGTAAAAGCTAAACTGTTTCAGCGAGTCAGAAACATTCAACCCCTTTTGAACTCAAAAAAGATTCATAAGAAGGGGTTAATTGACTGATTACTTCAAACAATATTAGATTTTTGTTTTTCATACAATAATTCAGTACTAGAAACGGCTTAGATAAGCTGTCTTGCGAATTTCTATTCTAGTCACATTCAAATTGTTAGAAATCAAACGGTTTTTAGAGTGTTAATTTTTCTTACCTTGAACGAGCGCTCGGAAGTCCCACTTGTCCTTGTTCCTGGCGGAGACAACATAAGCCCTAGTGTTTTTTACCTTTCCAGTTTGAATCGAGTCTTTGCATCGCTGTCTGATGCGCGAGACAAGTCTATCCTCGCAATAAGTCCTGGGAAATTTCGCCTGATCCTCGGCTGTGGTTTTGTCAATTTTAGTTCTAACGTAGAAAAAGGGAATCTCTTTTTCGTTAAATTGACGGCCAAGCCACATGCTCCACTCTCGAATATGTGAATCTGTAAGAAGCAAAACTAAGTCAAAATTATATAGCTTCATGTTTTTCATATATTCTTCTCGATCGGCGCGGCGGGTTGAGGACACATGCGGGATTTCGGTGAACGTGATGTTCTTGTGGTTCGGATATTTATAGCTGAAAGTAACAATAAGTTATTTTTTAGCAAGGTAGAAGGACCAGTCAGGCTTATTTATTGTTCACGGAAATTCGTCGTAAAACAAAAATATAAAAATACCGCACAACATTAAATTAATTATAGCGAAGCTAGAAAAAGCAAAGGTATTCTAGGAAGAAAAATGTTGAAGTAATGATACCGACGATTTTTGCTCGAATCTTGAGAAGCGCCACCGCATTATGTCTTAAGCCTTTTGATTGGCCGTGCCCAAAAAATGTGTATATTTATCGAAAATTTTAAAGTATTTTTATTTTTCTGGGGAAACCTTAATAAAGTCGTCAAAGGCTTTGCCCTACTGGTGGAACTACTGTTCAAAATAATCAAATTTTTCTAAAGAGCCCTGCCTGACTAGCTGTTAATAATCAGAAAAATTACCTTGTTGTTGGCTTATCCTTGCTCAGTTTTGCTTCTTTCAGCGGTCCTCCTCCAAAGATCTCTTTGATAAGGGTGGTTTTACCCGCCCCAAGTTCTCCAATTATGGCTATTTTCACCTGAAAAAGTTTAGAATCTTGTCAAAATTCAGGCACACGTGAACTGAACAGTAGGTCATAATAAAACAGTGAATAGGAATACTTAATCTGAACTTCAGATTCTGAAGGCACTTTATTTATCAAATTGGCCTTTTCCATGACAGCTTTTAACGAGATAATAAGGAGCTATTGAATCTATTTTCCCGAAATTAAAATATGAAAACAGATCATAAGATATTTCGATGAAATAAATTAAAATGCTTTCGGCGATAAAAATCAGCAACAGAAATTGGAAAAGTGTGGGTTTACCTTGTAGCCATTAACTGCTTGTACGAGTTTATCTCTCGCGTATTCCTTCACGGCTAGTATACATTGGCTATTATTTGACTTAACAATATTCTTCGCAAGTGCACTTGTGCATTTTTCGTCGAAGTCCAAGTCGTCCGGATGAAGCGACAAGACAGACTCTGTCGAGGCCACCGAGTTCTCCGTGGAATTGCCCGAGTCCGAGTTGTGTCCACTTTGAGCAGTCTTCGAAGAATTGCTCAACGCTGTTGTACTTTCGGAGCCAGATAGGTCTTCAGTCGAGTCGCTTATGTTTCCAGTAATTGCTAAATTGTTGTTTAAGAATAATAATTTTTTTTCATTTTTATGATTCAGGGTATCAGAACAAGATAAAAAATAAGACAACCAAATTTTAAACGAGGGTTGAAAAATTGCCGTAGTCACTTGACTCGTCAGCCAATCAAATGCCAGTATGTGTTGTGAAAGCCAATCAAAAACCCCTATTTAACCTTAGAAGTTCTTCAACACCCTACACTGACATTTCGCCGATGGGTAGCCCACCCTAGCTTGCACTTTTTTCGATCAAAGTAATGTGACGTTACTTTATTTTGTGCAATGTGTTAGATGTGTAAATTAAACATATTTATGTGGGAAATGAGAATAAAGTGCTGTTTTTCGTTATCATGATTTTTTGATCAAATTCAATAAAAGAACACCGCCAAATTCGTGGAATCGATGGCTTATCAAGTGTCACCGATTCTAGTGTCAACGCATCAGTCCTTTGTTCCCTTCATGTTGGAAACGACATGAGCTTTTCAGTTGGATAGAAAAATATAAATCGATACTTGCTCGAAGAGCAGCATAAACTTTGGAGTACGAGTTATTTACCTTTCATTCTTCTTGCCTCTGCTATCTTCTTGGATCGATAGTCAAAAGATTCAGGATCATCATCGCACCCTAATCGAATGTTAATTCAGTCCTTGGTTTATTCTTCATGAGAAAAATTTAGGAAAAACTTACCAGAGTCACTCTCTACTGATGTCTTGTCGAGTTTCGCCGCAGTTTTCATCTTCTCATCACCTTAATTTTCAAGTAAATATTTGATTATCATTTTTAAGGATATTTTGAAAAATGAGTGTTTCCAAGCTTCAGATAAGCGTATGTTTATTCCCAGAAGGAAAGAGTTTTTATTTTTCTCGACATCAGAAAGCCCAATTTCCCTATTTGACTGAGTCCCAGTGAAACAGAGATGTCACATCTTGCACTTTAGAGCTCTTTTATGACCCTTAAGGCACTTGTGACAATTCTTCGAGTTAAAAAATTTGTTTTATAAGGTCATCAAATTAATATCCTTATTCGATGCTAACATAAACGGATAAAACGAGTTTTTTTCGAAAAAGGCAATTTTGACTGGCGCTACAGACAAGAGAATCTTAGATTTTCAATTTTTATCCTCGGGTATAGAATGATCCATTTTTATTCTATAAACATCTTTATTAGAAATTTTTAGTCAGCAAATTTTTGAATTCGCAGGCTCAAAAGCAACAAATCTCTCAAAAATTCCCGTTATTCGCTAATACTCCGACTTCGGATATCTCCAGTCACATGATCGCATAACAAATTCCATACATATTTTTAAATATTTAAGGGGGTGGTAGTCGAGACTAAGACTTTTTTCAACCTAAAAAACTTCAATTTTTTCGAAAAAAATTTTTTTTCTCTAATTGAAAATAACTTAAAAAGGGTCCAATTTATGTGGGCGGCTATGTTGGAAAAAAATATTTTCTCGAAAAAATGGTGAAGAGTTCCTTCAAAGTAGACCCATCTCTTGACCTAAAAAACTCGATCCCCTTATTATTTTTTTCGAAATAAAACTTACCAAGAGGAAAGTTTAGACCCTTTAGCGTGTGGGCGGCTTAGTTTTAGAATGTTAACCTTAATAGAAAAGAAAATAGTAATAGAATGAAAACATGTTGTTTTCTGAAAATCGGCATTTTCACTCATTTTTCAATGAAATTTTCCAAAACATCACAATAATCGTAATTTTTTAAGATTTTTATAATTAAAATATGATCAAGAAACATAACTTTGCAATGAAAAAACAATTTCGAGTAAGTTTTAGTGAGAAAAACGCGTTTCAAAACTCCCGAAAATGGCGATTTCATAGCATAAAATCGAAAATTTTCTTAAATAAAGTTGCTCCAATGTAGAAAAGCTAGAGACCAAAAATGCTCCTTTTTTATCAAGGAATCTGAAAATAATATCAAAATTTTAAAAAGACGAAAAATATTTTCTCGACCACCACCCCCTTAAAGAGAATGTCCTTTAAGGGGGGAAGAACTAGATTTTCGGAAAAACAGTGATTTTCGGGAGGCACTTTAAATAAGAAAAACCTGTTTTTACTAATGATTACGCAATTTCCTCGAAAATGTTGCTAGATAAATGGTTAAACTGTTTTAAAATGATATTTAAAAAATTTGGCTAGTCACGTGACTCGATAAATTTGAGGACGCGAATACGCTAAAATTACGATTTTCGAAGAGATGGGTTGACGTTTCGCTCTCTAGCGCCAAAATGTGTTGACGAAAAGAAATTTTAAGAAAAATGTTGTAAGATCTTAGTTTGTTCTTTCTTCAACCGAAGAGAGAACTTGAAAATCTAAGCTCTCCTGGCTTTGAGCGCCGGTCTAGAATCGGCTATTTTCGAAAAACCTAGTTCTACCCCTTAAGAAGAAAATCGCGAATTGGATTTTCCAGATGATCTGAGACAATAATTTCAATTAAGGACACCCCCGTCAACAATTTTCATCGAAAAATCGATAATTTTAAAAAGCCATATTTTGGCTTCTTAGTGTGCCTGTAAATTCAATTCAGCATAAAAACTTGTTCGGAGGACTTTTTGACCAAAAAAAAATCTCAAATTTTAGCGAAATTGGGACTCTTTCGTCATATTTCGTCAAAAAGTCCGATTTTCAAACGCAATTTTGAGGGTGTTAGAGTCGAGATAGACCCCCAAAAAATGATGCCTTAAAATCGTTTTTTGACCTGTAGAATCCCTTTCCGGGGTTAAAATTTTGAAATTCCGAAAATAGATTTTTGGAAAATTGTTGACGGGGGGGGGGGGTTCTTAAATAACGGCGATTAAAGCTTTTGATGCATTCTTCGTTGCTTTTAAACATTAAAAGTAAGCCCCTTATGTGTAGGAAACTTCATTTATTGGGCAAGGTTTTTTGGAACTAGAGACAAAAATTCACCTTCAGTGGGTTGCGCAGTTGGTTGCCCCTTTGCGATTGCAGCTTTGATTGCCCCTTTGCCCGCGCTTTTTCTATTGTTCCTTTCTAGACTCGCTCAAAGTGATTGCAGGATTCGTTGCCCCTTCACCCGCTCTTTAGGGGGCAACTACCTGCGCAACCCACTGTTAGAGAACCGCCCCCTCCCGCCCCATCAAGAATCGTGAAAACGGGGCTCTTAACTCCCCAACTGGAACGCGCCCCGAAAACCCCCTAACTGGAGCTCGACAATTTTTGTCGACAAGACCTTCCCGTTGAGATAATTTTCTGAAACTTCGTTGACATACCAATTTAAATGTGTTCTTACACATGGCGTTTTTAGATTTTCTCTAGCGCAATTATATCTCCTTCAAATTCAAACGACTGTTTCCAAAAATGATCGGAATTTCGATATTTAAATGAAATTTTCGAAATCTGCACGTTCAAAAAGCTATATAAAGATATTTTCAGGTCATTAATGCAGATATATTATCAGGATAAAAATGTTATAAGAAAGTTTCCTCCTAAAACACGTCCGATTTAACTGACAATTTCTGGCCAAGCGCCAGCGAGAGGGATCAGCGCGACCTATTTTTCGCTAAGGGTACAGGAGGTCAGTGCAAATACCCATTACACTTTTTTTCCCGTTCCGGAATCAATTCAATAATGACAGCGGATTAAAGGGCCTTATCGACAAAAAATGTCGAGCTCCAGTTGCGGAGTGAGTTTTTTTTTTTACAGAAAGTATCTGAAGAAGACTCTTTGTTCTACGGAGGGGTCTTTCAATAACAACCGGGGCGATTTCCATCATGAGCACTATTCTCCGTAAGTGCTTACTTTTAATAAGACTACAACCGTTTTCCTTTTGATGATCTTTCGATTTTAATTTAAGGATATACAGACCCTATAACTTATATAACCTTATTGGCAATAAGATAACGTTGCTATACCCTAGCATTATTTTTGTGGATGCAATAAGGGGCATAAGGGCCCGCTCTAACGAAGATTCCTATTGTCCGGCCCACATATTGAATCAGAGGCAAGGGCTCCGGTCCATTAGCTCCACTTTGGGTCAAGGGGTGATGTCAAATCCAAGCGATTGCCGATGATTCAACTTTTGGATTTCGCTGGAGGCTGCATCTTTGTCTCTGATTCAATCTGTTGGCCGGACGAAAAGAATTTTCGATAGAGCTCGTCATGCTGCCCCTTATACAAAAATAATGCAAGGGGGAAGGTGCAGGTTGTTTCCGGGTCTATAATGGGGTGGCCTCTTGAATCGACGAAAAATCTTTAAAAAAAAATAAAAAAAGACTTCAGAAAAAGAAACTCTAGTAATCTCTTGAGGAAAATCTTTTCTTAAAATTATGCATAAACGGCCACAATGGACTTTTCTAGGCATTTTTGAGATATTTTGTTAGCCAAGCAGATAATGCTGGGCCATCGAAATTATCTTTATAAAAATGATATTTTTTGTCGGTAACAGACACTATCCTTCATAATAAAGGGTAACCCTTAATTTTTTTAAGAATAACGTTAACGCCGTCAGGTATAACCGTTCCACACTTCTATTGCAGTTAATATTCCTTGTATGAAGTTGACTGCTAGAATAACGAATGCGAGAATAACAGGTATTTTCACAAAAATTCAAAAATTTTGAAAAAAAATAGGCAAGCGGGGTGCAAAAATTAGGAGTATTTTGCGAAATTTGTGAAGAGAAGGCTCGTTATTCCCGCAGTCGACTCAATTTTATATATTCTTTTATGACAGAAATTTTCTTTAGGAAGGGTATACCCATAAAATTAATATTAAATAGAAGATGATCGGCGTGGAAGACCGCTAGTTTGCGGCGGAGAAAAGTTAGCAGAAAGTCATGGATGAAAAGTCGTGAGGATCGTAAACGCTCCGAAATCGACAGCTCTAGTAAAAGGCAAAAATGCCCATTCTTTTGAGACTATAAGAGTTCTAAACATGAACCAAGACTGAAAAAACTACTCTCGTCAAGTTTTGAGATCCCACAAAAATCCCTTGTCCAAGTCAAGTCTAGTCCAAAGCCCTTTCAAAAATCACTTGTCTCGTTTAGGCTAGTATTAAAGACTTGTCTAAGGACTGTTGGAATAGTCGGAGTTTGGAAATAAGTCGAAAAAATTAAGTCGGCAGTTAGTAATAATAAATTTATAAAGAAGACCCCACCCACCAGAGCCTGGATCGAAAATATTTGTTCCAATCTCAGGGTATTTCATGTGACTGTTAACTCGATTTTAAAAATTGAGCGGAACAGAGCAGAATGACAGATCAACCGAACCGGAGGTGGAAAGGGCACGGCTAGTTAGGGTTACTGAAGGAGCGGAGTAGACTAGTCTAGTCTCATTTTTTCAGACATTAAGATAAGTGAGGTCTAGCCAAGTCTTGAGACTAAGATTTAAGTCTGAATTCGAATTGTCTTTTAGAACACTTAACCAATTAAAACCCTGGAAGGATGTTGGGCGCGTAGGTTCTGCCAGACCCGGGGTCTGCAAAATGCAGATCCGGAAGCTGCATTGACGATCAAAATTTTGGCTCCTTTGGCCCGTTTTGATTTAGAAATGTTAGAAGATGAAGTTTTCTCTAAGATCAGGCGCGGAGCGCACCAAAGCGCCTGTTTCATCTTAAATTCTGATAAAATTTTTTCATTTGCAGACCCGCGGTCTGCATTTTGCTGAACCGAGGTCTGCATGAAGAACCTACGCGCCCTACATCCCCCTGGAACGCATAAATTATTTTCTCCTGGAACGAATATTAACGCATTTTTGGGTAATTTCCTTTCACGCCATATGCAAACTGTATAACGACTTTTTTTTAAATAAATGATCCTCAGACTCAAAAGAAAAATAAAATACTTATATGATAAGAAAACATTAATACATGCCTTGAATAATATGCCACCTTCGAAATGCCTAAATAGCGCCAATAAATAACTTACCGCTTTAAACTTAATAGAAGCGACTAGCAAATTTTACAAAAATCTTTAATCTTTAATCAATAAAATATCTTTAATTTTTTTAAAAGAGAAGGTCTGAAAGTATCTCAAGAATAGATCTCTAGATAGCGGTGATCATATTTTCAATTAAGTTGGTTTTTGGTCATAACTCTAGAATTTTTCATTACCGATACGATTTTCTAATCAATTTCTATCATATAAATAATTATAAAAACATTAGAAACAATAAAAACTGAATATAAAAGTGTGAAAATTTGCCTTATTTTCTACTGATGTAATTTAAAAGATTGCTGTTCTCCTCAGTTCTGTTGACCAAAGAATTTTTAACGGGGGATCGTCAATATGGATTTTACGGGTTGATCAAAATCACAATTGTACATTTGGTCTGCATATGAATATTATATTTTTTCAAAATTTTCGGATTTTCGCCCTACTTTGAGGGGATTTTTAACAGATTTTTCCCAGCCAAAATATTTTCTCCTTGTCGCCGGTAGATTTCAAAAACCCTTTTTTTCACCTGAGAAATCGGAATTTTTCTACCTCATCAGGTTTTGCCGCTTTTTGGTCAAGAGAAACCCAAATATTGACGATCTTCCCCTTAAATTGGATCCGTTTTAGCTAAGGGCCTTGACTTAACCCTGAAAATAAACTAAAAGTTTTCTATATCACATTTATTAAATTACCAGTTTCGATCAACAGATCATCTTCAGACTTAAAGGAACTCTAGAGCAGTTCAATATAGGAGAAAAATACCTTATGAGTTGTTATAAAATTAAGAAATTAAACAAAATAAAGGGTTAATCAAAAATGTTTACCCAAATAAAACCTGCACCTACAAACCTTACCTTTTATGGTCTGTATATTAAATTTATAATCGAGAGATCATCAAAAAGAAAACGATCGCAGATGAGGGTCTGATTTAAAGGAAGCGATTCGAATAAAAAGTCTACCTTAGAATGAGCCTCATTTTAACGATTCTTGATAGCGAGGTCCTAAATTCGCCTAATTGAAGCCTAAATCGCCAATATTTGTCACCTTGAGGCTAGGCTAGACATGGGAAGGGTAGGCGAAATCGCCAAACCTCGCCAAGTTTAGCCTTCTAGGCGAATTTGCCTAGGCATTTTCTACCTCTGGTTGGTAGAACTTGGTAGGTAGTAATCTTGAGGTAACCTGCTTAGTAAGGTTAAGTCTGATTAATCAGGTGAAACGAAATGCCTTCCAAAAAAACCAGCAGCTTAGAGAAGAAAAAATTTTCATAAAATTGGTTCCAAAAATGGTCGTTTTGAAACCGAAAAATACCGAACCCTTCATTTTACCTACGCGTAGGATAATTGACTTTTAAACGTAATTATACTTTTGGAAAAACGACATTTGTTCTAGTTTGACATTTGACATTTGAAATTTTATCATGTTAACCCTGGAACGCATGGCCATTTTTGCCAATTTCTGACCATTTTTTAACCCAATATTGTCGCGATTTGGGCATAGAGAGAATAAAAATCCGGGTTTATATATAATAACTGGACTCTAAGCTACAAAAATATAACTTGAGCGTGGTCATATTATATGCGTATATCAAATATAATATGGGTTTTTTGATGAGCAAAATCGTATTACCCGAAAATGGTAATATGCGTTCCGGCGTTAAGGAAAAAGCTCACCCTTAAAACTTTCTATTCATGTCCTTTCGAAAATTAATCACGATTGAATACTCTCAAAAGGCCCGACCTACGCGTAGGTCGATATGCGGGCAGGGGTGAAAAATTTTTCATGCGGGCAAGGGTTAAAAAACATCGGCGATCGAAAAGAATACCGTCACTATATCAACAAGTAAAATTTTAATGAGACGAAGATATTCGATTTTCTCAAAAATCGATATTTTTAATTTAAATTGTTTTTAACATAATTTTTGCCGAAGTCGCAAATATTCGAAATTTTTGTTTGATAATGAATCAAATAGAATTTAAAAACTACAAAAATCTCAATTCTAAGGCTCAAAATCAAGAGTTTTCCTTAACAAAATTCACATATCCGCACAAAGCTATGAGGTGGCGTCAGGAACCGACAAAAACTCAAACAACTTTGACGGCTGCTCGGCTGTCGATTGACCAGATAGCCAAATCCAGGCGTCCGATTGGCTATTATTTCAACGCAAAATTTGTCAAAATTCTTCTGTCGGTTTGAGACACCTCTCCAAAGGCAGGGAGAGCTTTGAGAGTTAAGACCACGTATAACTAAGACCCTCGTACCCTAAAAATTAAATTTCGAAAATACGGCATGTAACGTAACTCGAGAAATCTGAGGCAAATATTGTCATTTTTCAAGAAATGGCTTTTTTCTCAGTATGTTCAGTATGCGAAAATGTGCTGACAAAAATATTTTTAGAGAAAATTCTTGTTAGATCTAAGGTGGCATTAAGTTGAATGCTCGTCATTCACCAAGTTTGAAAAATTCGATTATTTTTTTCTAACTGACCCATTTTTTCGAAAATCTGAAAAGCATCGCAATAAGTTAAACAAGAAATTACATCTCTGATTGATCTTCCTTCGTAAAAAAAATGCTTTTTGAAGTATTGATTCTGTTTCGAACATGCGTAATCATTGATACATGATTAATGCCCCGCTCGAAAATCCACACTTAAGATAAGGTAAAAGTCAAAATTATCTAAATTTTTTTGCCTTTTTGGGTAGTTTAGACCACCAGGAAGAACTTTTATTCAAAACATTTTTTTTCTCCTTTAGACTATTTTGACAGAAATTCCAGTTCGCTATTTTTTAATGATGAATAAGGGTATACCAACCATCAAAACTATTTCTATTATAAACACGATTATAAAAACATAGTTAAGGGCAATTTAGGCAATAATTAATGGAAATATAGATCTGGAAATTCGACTTAGATTCGACTTATAAAATTTTCAAGGGGCTTTCGTCCTTAAGCTCGTAGACCAAAAGTTCTAAAAAAGAAAACGGTCGTAGCTTAGGGGCTTAACTTTATCCTAAAAAAAATAAAAGGTATATCACACTTAAAAACCCGAAAAAAAGCTGCACTTAACAACCTTACGTTTAAGGGCCTGTATAACCTTAAGTTGTTGATCGTGAGATCATCATAAGGGGAACGGTTGCAGGCGAGCGTTCGAACAAAAGCTTGCAATTGAAATTTCGGGTCTACCCAAGGTAGTTTTTCAGAAAAACGTTCACTAAAGAGCCCTATTTTCACGATTCTTGATGGGGAGGGGTCGCTAAAGATGAATAATCCGAAGTTAGACCGATACTGTTGGACGCAAAGTCCAACGCTAGACCCATACTTGTGGGGTCTCTCTGGTGAATTTTTAGAAGTGCTGATTTGTTATTGTGCATCCAGTATAACAACATATTGAATCACCTGAACGTCGTTAAAGCCTACAGAGAAATATTTAAAGAATAAAACAAAGAATCTGATCATATTTTCCCAAAAAATATATTAACAGTTGTGAGGAGTTTCCGCAACCCAAAATAGCGGGTAAAAGGTACGAAAACGCAGCACTCACTTTTTTTACCTCTAGAAGAGAAAAGTAGAAAAAGTGCGGGCTAAAAGTGCGGCAACGCAGCACTCACAAAGGGTGCGGAAACTCCTCACACCACTGTACAAATTGATTGACCCGGATATCCAAAATTTTTGGGTTCTTGTAAAAATACTGGTTATTGCTAGAGTCGACTAGAACAGACGTCAGAAAGGCTACATGTCGAAGTGAACAATAATTCGATCTTAGAAAGAAACAGATTTTAAAAATATCCAGACTACGCATTTATCGTAAATTTAATGATAAATTGTTTTTGAAGCTCACTCGCGCCCTCTTAGATGCGCTTGTGCGCGCATTTTTACGCTCATGAAAAAAGAAACTTGAAAACACACTCATTTTCTCTTGGTTCAACCGGTCCTGTACCTTCATTAATAACTTTTAAAGTTTTAATTTCTTCTGGTTCTTCTTCAATTGCATTCAATTTTGTCTTCCCCGGAGGACTGCCTATTAAGGCTGTCATTTAGCGTCAAAAATTAGGGAAACACCAAGGGTACAAGAAAATCTTGACAGAAAGAGGGGAAAAAATAAAGTCATGCCAGAGACACTAAGTTTCATCTTGATTTTGAATCTTTCTGTCAATTTTTCAAGAAACATTAATGAGGGTCTAATACGTTACCGCATCCGCTTAAAATGAAAGAAATTATTTACAAGTTAGAATAAAACGATGCAAGCTTTGCAAATGCATTTGCTTGACAAGTAAGTAAAATTTACGATAGAAATTATTAAAAAAGATAAAGCATCGATATTTTCTGTAGATAAAGTTAATGGGCACCAATATGAATATGTAAAAAGGTCGTCTTAAAGATTTCGTGAGAAAGAAAGTACCTTGCTGATGGCTTTCATCTAATTAGAGACCCCCTCCACGGTTTTTCCGGAAAAAGATCGCAAATAGTCTGTATGCATAAAGTAAAAATTTAATAATAAGTCTTAAAAATTTTTAAGAGATTTACTGGCGGCAAGAATCGACAATTTTCGGCAAACAATTTTCGGCAAAAATTTGATGATAATTTTGGACCAATCAGATCTGCGGATTTGACCGAGAGGCCAATCAGATTTCAAAAAAAAATCGAAAAATCGAGTTTTTTGTTGGCCGAAAATTGTCGAGTAGCGGCGCCATCCTAGAGTTTCGTAGTAAATATATCCAGTTTTTTTACGAACGATCTTTTATTGCTTTCTTGATTTAAGCATTATCACAAAAATTGGAAATTCAATAATGAAAACCGTCAACAGGCACGTAAAAAGCGCACGAAATCTCCCATTTTTCAATGGAAAAATCAAAATACCACCTTATTCGGCAAGACAAAATTTTTTCAAGAAAAAAGATCTCCGGTTATTTACCTAGTCCGGGATTCGAGACTAGCAACATTTCGAGTTCAGAGTTTGCTTCTAGCGAACTCGAAAATTCACGTTCAAACTGTAAACTGTGGCGAAATGAAACTCGACGCTTAGGGTCTACCCGTCGACTACACGATTTTTAGGTCGGTGTCGATTTTCGGGGTTTTTCGGTGTTAATCTTCGTTTTTGATACTCTGGGTGCTGCAAATACTCTCTCTATCGATCTCAATATGGCAAATACGTAGAAAAAATAAGTGTAAAAATTTGTCAAAATAATGCTATGCTTGCCGTTCAGAAGGGGTTTGTAGTAATTCAAAGATTTGATAAGAACATACAATAGCCAGCGCGCCTCTCGAGCGCCTCGGCGACGCCGCACGCGCGGACAAGGCGCCAGAGAGTTCTAGCGACGCGGAGTTTTCACGCACAATCGAGGGCGCCCGTGAGCTATGCGAGGAGATGTAAGAGCAAACGGAACATTCTCTATGTAAAATTAACGGTGAATCATCAACTGTTCTTCTGGCGACTGATTCGAGCAAGTAAACTTTTCAAATCCATATTTTATTCGATAAAAATTCAATTGATTCTATTCAGGGTTCGAAATCAGGCCGAAAAGTCGCTAGGCTAGGCTAGGCTAGGCAGAGCGAATTTAAAAAAGCTAGGCGAAAAAGCTAGGCGAATTTTTTGTCACAGACTCTAGGCTAGGCTAGGCTAGGCGAATTCGCCTTAGGCGAATCTAGGCGAAAAAGCGAAAACGCGATGCATTTCAATTTTTCTAGGCGATTAGGCGAAAATTAGGCGAAAAGCGAAAATTAGGCGAAATTTTCGCCTGGATCTGCCTAGATTTCGCCTAGATCTGCCTAGATTTCGCCTAGATCTGCCTAGATTACGCCTAAATTCGCCTAATTTCTTCGCCTAGGCGAAATTCAAGGCGAATTTTCATTTTCGCCTTGTCGCCTAGCTTCGCCTAAGGCACCAGTATGAGACTAGGCTAGGCTAGGCTAGGCGAAATTTCAAGAGTCCTCGCCTAGCTAGGCAGCAAGGCGAATTCGCCTAGCCTAGCCTAGCCTAGCTTTTAGGCGAATTCGCCTAGGCGATTTCGAACCCTGATTCTATTAAAAGAAGTTATATAAGTAAAATACTGTTTTTGCTAAAAAGTTGGAAATTTTTAAGGCAAATAAGTGATTTGAAATCACCAATTTGAGCTCAGTATTGAAAAAGAAGACTTAATTTTCTTCAAAATAATAAAAATAATAAATTTAAGATTTTTGATGAACAAGCCTTTCAATATTTCTTAGAATCCAACGTTGCTCTTAATTCCCTTCCGCCTTAAACTTCATGAGGTTTATTCCTAAGGGTGCTTACACCATAGAGTTATGTATAAGTCCTTGGTCAGATAAAGATTTTCTTCAGTTGATTTTCGAGTTCTAGGAACTTCCTTTTTAGTTCAACAATAAAGAAGAGATCGTTTAATTTGTTTAAGATTTCCCTTTTTGTGATCTATTCTCGAACAAGCTCATTATGAGGGAATTGCGCAAACAGTAGATCCATAAAAGAAAGCAGGATTTTCATGCCTTTCTTTGAGAAAAAATTGACCTGACGATGATTTTGCTTGGTGCAATTTTAGGGCTTTCAAGTCTACTCATTTTTATTTTAATCGCGATCTGCAGAAGAAGAAGTCGAGAAAAAGCAAGACGAGAAGAGATGGAGATCTTTTAATTTTCTTTTTAATAAAAAATGTGTTGAAGAATGAAATAAGCAACAGTTCTTTGTTACCGAAGTTTTGATCCATAGTCTGTCGAAATCGAGTTACAAAGTTCCTGTGAACGTGTAAGAGCTGAATCGTTCACTTTTCTCACGTGAGTCGTTTTCGGTTTCAGTCCATTCCGGGGCAGTAGAAAGCCGGTGGAGATTTGGAGAGAGGCAGAATTACCGAAGGAAGCTTGAATTGTTACACTGGAACTGCTTTCCCGTGTTTTCCAAGGCCAGAGGATCAACAACGATTACGCGGCTCTCTTAGATCACGCAACAACGTTTTCCAACGACTCAAGAGTGAAATCCAACACTTTTCAAGCGAAACTTGGAAAAATCTTTCGAACTTTCTTCTTTTCGCGAATCGAAAAAAGGGGACTGAAATCAACGAGCAGGGCGCAAGGAACAACACAGCAGTGCACTCATTTTTGATGAGCTTCTTGATTGATAACTACCCGATACTAATCGCTTTCCAATTCAATTACTCTCTTCCTCAACTACGAAGGAAAAAAAAAGAAAGAGAAAAGAATGATTCCGCCGATTATGATAGAACAAGTTCACCGCCCACATGGTACTGAAACTGGAATTTCAAAGGGAGGGCATAAAATAGGAGCTCTTATTTTGAAGAGGAAATTACTCTGCCCCTTTTTAACGGATTTATTTTTTGTTAAGAGGGTCGCCATTTTAATGGATATTTGCCTGGGGCTAAAAATATCCATTAAAATGGCGACTATCTCGGAAAGACCTGAAGAAATCCGTTAAAAAAAGGATCTAGGACAGAAAATTTTCCGTTAAAATGCGGACCCTATTTTTCATCTTTACTAGCAAATATGAGAAAAATTTTAAGTTAAAAAAATTAGACAAATTTCTGTAAAACTGCTGTAAGAGGTTAATTCACATTATGATTGCCCGACCAAGATTGGAATGTTCGTATTCTTTCTCTTGCTGATCCTGACAAGGGGCGTGAAATTTTTAACTTGAGCGAATTTGAAGTATTCAAGAGTCTCATGTCTTGAGACTTGTTGAAAAATTTCCATGAAGACACTAAGTAAGCCAGTTTTTCATTTTAATTGTAAGATGGCAAATTACTAAATTGTTTTAACAAGTTGTGTTCAATATCTACTGCTGCTGGTTTAATCGCGAAAAGGACAGGTTTGCAAAAAGACCAACCCTAACCCTAACCCTAACTTTTGCCCTCTGGGAACTTATGGATTTCATTACAATTGGGATACCCTTAAGTAATTAGACCAATTAACGGGGTGATGTCTGGAACCGACTAAAAATTTCGACAAATTTTGCGTGGGCGGCTACTCGGCTGCTGATTGGCCGGTTTGCCGAATCCAGGGTTCTGATTGGTTGAAAATTTTTCGATATTTTTTGTCGATTCCAGACGCCACCTCTAATTAAAATCATCGAAAAATCTCACAAAAAATATTTTATTTGAAAAGTTTTACCAAAATTAAAATTACGCTGCTTTGACAAAAGTAAAATAAATTTCCCCCTCGAATATTACGATACAACGTGCTGGAAACGATAATTGTATGCGGCTTACGCTTGTCTCTTTATTTTGTTGTTTGAGATTGAACACAGCCGCCTGTGGTGGCTAAAGCGGACAGCTGCGGCCAAAAATTTATAAAGCATTGAAAGTATTCCAGTTCAATTTAAACGCTTATTAATTACTGCATCTGTTTCCCTGAGGCTGAACAAGAATCTGGCAGATATGAACTTTTTATTGAGATAACGAGCTTGATGAATTTTTGAATAAAAAATCTGAAGAGATTAATTTCTCTGCCTAAAAGGGTCCATCAAATTTACATTTCTATTTCAAATCACAGCATTTTCTCGACACATCTGAATTTTTAACCCTGGGCAAAAATGTAGAAAACTTGAGTCCGGGTTCTGCAAGAGCTCTGATGGAAGCCGCGTAGCGGCTTTCTAAAAATGAAGCCGCATAGCGGCTTCGCCAAAACCAGGGCTGGATAATTTGAAATCAACACAAATCTCAACACCCAAAAACGGCCTTATTGACCAATCAGGATTGCCAAATTCCGAAAATATGGGTGTTGAGATTTGTGTTGATTTCAAATTATCCAGCCCTGGTTTGGCGAAGCCGCTATGCGGCTTCATTCTTAGAAAGCCGCTACGCGGCTTCCATCAGAGCTCTCCCAAATCCCTGACTCAGGTTTTCAAAATAGGTTGCCGAGGCCAGTTTCTTCTTTTTTACGGTTAAAAATCACTGTACCAGAACGAGGCCACCTTTACGATAATCCAGATGACGCAAGACACGAAAGAAATTAGCCCGAATCACTTTATTCGTTACGGAAATCCTGCGCTTGCAAAAACATTCACATTTTGGCAGCGCGTGTACGTGAAAATAAGCAAAAATTTAAATGGAGGATTGCTTCCTTCGAAATTTAAAAACCCTCCTTCGCTGTCCAGCGGCGGGAAAAGGTGATATGCGAATATGAAAAAGAATGTCCCTCAATATTGAAAATGACCAGGGTACTTTGTTCTTGCTGACTCTGGTTACGTGCCTGTACTTATTTCTTCCTCTCAAGTCTTTTGGATTTCTTATCTTGCCGCCTTGATTTGATTAGTCCAGGTTTCTTACAGGAAAGTATTAAAGTAATTTCTTTCGATTTGATTATTTTAAGAAATTTATCAAAAAAAAATCTTCATGAAAAACGATTTTAGATGATAATTGACGATTTCAGTTGAAATTTTTTTCAATAAAATTTCGGTAAAAGACATGACTGTATATTGAAAAACAGGAAAAGCCTGTCTAACAAAGCCAACGTGCTGATTCCATTAATTAGAAAGCCGTTCACGGAAGTCAATTTGGCTGAGCTATTTAAATTGTCAAAGCCGCAAGAAGAGCATGGCTGGTCGCGGCGATTAATTTTGGTTTGGTGAGACAAATCTGATGACCTCCCGAGCAAATCTGATTGAATCCGGAAAACCGTCCTCGGTCAACATTTTGGATCCATCGACAAACCAAAACTAACGTGCTGTCTTTAAAACCGAGCGAACTTCGTAAATCGACCTTGGAAGATTTGTCGAATCAAACTTTTTCAAAAAAAACAAAAATAAAATCTTGCCCCTAATATCAGTTAGGGTTAGGGTTAGGGTTAGGGTTAGGGTTAGGGTTATGAATAAAAATTAAAAATCCAATGGCACCCCCATTTTTATAATCTTCAGGCTCAGAGTTGCAAATTTTGATTAATTTTTCTGAGCTGAGCGGAGCTGACCTGAGTAAAAATTTCTCTGAGCTGAGCTGAGCTGAGCTGGCCTATTTCGGAGGTTACTGAGCTGAGCTGAGCAGACCTTTTGTTTTAGAGAGTTGAGCTGAGCTGAGCTGTTTTTACTGTTTTTGGTAGTAAAATTGTATTCAAATTATTGAGCTGAGCTGAGCTAAGTGATAATTGTCTGAGCTGAGCTGAGCTGAGCAGATCAGATCATTTTCCAAAATCACTGAGCTGAGCGACTGCTCAGCTCACTCAGCCAGCTCAGCTCACTCAGCTCAGCAAATTTGCAACGCTGTTCAGGCTCGGTTGGTGCGATCGCTACCTGCATTCAGACTGTATCCCAGATCTCGAGCGACAGGTGCGAAACAGTAAATCAGAATTGTATAAAAATATTCTTCAGAATTATGCCGCGAGGAAGCCGCAAGAATGTCCTGTTCAAAAAGAAACTACTGCAAATTTCAAATACTATACCATGGTCAAAATGGCTCAGCTGACCAAGCCTACTTTAGAAATTGACTACATACACCCTTAATCGCTCAATAAAAATTCCAGCGGTTTCGAAAATTCAATTAATTTCAGAATTTCTTTCTCACGAAAAAATGAAGAAAAATAATTATAATGCGTAAGGTAGAAATAAGTAGATTCTCACAGGTTAAGGACATCCATTCCGAAGACGTGTCAACTATGGGAAGAGAAAGGTATTTGAGCAGAATTGAGTGGGATGCTAATTTACGACGATGAGGCTTCTAATTATCACAACCTTTTTACGGTATTTTGAAAAGTCAACTCCTTTTTCGAATCAAAAATCGCCTTTACTGGGCTTTTTATTGCCAAAAAATTATGGGGTAATGAGTATGGTTAGGGTTAGGGTTAGGGTTTTTTTCGACAGTATTTCTTTCTGAAACCTGATTGGCTAAAATCTCGTAGACAGATTTTTGATTGATTGAAAAAAAGTTGCGAAAACCGGTCTTTTGAAGCTTTTCTACTTTTCAAATGTTGCTTAGTACTCGGAAATCAGCAACCGCAAAAAGTGAACGTTACAATCATTAAGCCGCTTTTTGATTCAATTTTGGCAACAGACTTAAATCTGGCTAATTCTCCGATTATGCGGTTCCTAACCTGCAGTTGCCTTCGCAACTATTTCTATAGGCTACTAAAGCAGTACTGTTGCTTCACCTCTCAGACCATGAAATTTCACCGTGCATTCTTTTTCTTGCGAGAGAATGAAAAAGATGCAAATGCATTTGTGTTTTAAAAGGTGTTAAAAAAACGTGACGGCGGTGCGTGGCGCTACTCTAAAAATGAGCATAAATGTCGAATATGTAATTCAATAAACTACCACCGTCGCCGTTAGACTAACACAAACTAAGGTGCTCTAAATTTTTCTTTCTTTTCTGTTTTTTTTTATTTCCAAAACTTGTCAGAAAAATCAGCTATCAGTAATTTCAAATCATCAAAGCTGTAAAACTCAAAACTCGATTCTTTCCGCTCATCGTTCTGGCCAAAATCTTCATCGTCAAAATAATAAATTTCTTCTAAAATGTCGTCTTCAAATGTCTCAGAGACTTCTTCGACTTTTGGAAGTGGATTTTTTCCAGAATGATGATCGAAAGTCGATTGAGTTCTAGAGGCGAAATTTTTTTTAGTTGAAGTCGTTTCTGTCAAACTTGGATTTGATCTCCGAATCGTCGAATTTGTAGTTGGCGACGTCGGGGATCTTGATCTCGGGAGCTTCGTACTTGTAGTTGGCCACGTCGGGGATTTTGATGTCGGGAGCGTTGTACTGGTAGTTGGCGACGCTGGGGATCTCGATCTTTGGTGCCTCGTATTTGAAGTTGGCGACGTCGGGGATTTTGATTTCGGGAGCTTCGTATTTGTAGTTGGTCACTTCGGGGATGTCGATTTGAGGAAGATCGAGGCTGCCGAGCTTCTCGGAGATCTTTAAAGAAAATTTCAAAAGAAGGTCTTTTTCCTCGAAAAAAATCAAAGTTAGGCTCAGAAGCCTGTGAAGACACCTGAGTTAGAAAAAATCTAGTTCAGAATTGGAACTGTGCGAAAAAAACAGGTTTTTCTGAGCTCAAAACAAACTTGTCTCAATTACAAAACTATTTCTCTAAAAAGTTACCTTTTGAACATTGTCAAGTGTGATGTCAAGCACATTCTTGATGTCATCAGCTACATCTTGAAATTTGTTTTCGCCGTTAGCCTGAGCATAGAGAGCAAGAAGTCCGAAAAATTTCATCTTTCAAAAGTTTCTTTTTTTCTTTGATTTTTAAAGTCAAATGAAGAGTTGAAGAGAGTGAAAGCTTGCTTTTATCGTGGCATGTAGACTGAAAAGCAAACAGAAGTGACCCTGTCTGGATCTAACAGTGCACTCGTCTTTGCAGGTTACCGAGGGTCGTATGCGTATTTGAGCAATAAAGAAAGTTTCAAGCAAGTTGTTAAATTTGATCTTCGAAACGTGTGCTTTCTACGAGCTTTTCTTGAAGAAAAACGATAAGATTTCGGAGTATTTCGAAGGTTATCAAGAAGAACGTAGTTTTTGAATATCATCAAAATCATTTCGACTAGCTTCTCTCGTTAATAAGACTATTTCTGTATCTCTTTTCGAAAATAATTGGATGAATAATTCCTGTAAAAACTCGTTCATACTACGACAGGTTAAACTGTACCTTCAAAAGTCAGAACTCAAGAGAGAATGAATCCTTAAGAGTGACTTTTACACTGTAGAATATACTGTATATTATATACAGTAAAGACTCTAGTAGAGTCACTCTACTGAAGGAGTGTAAACAATAAGTCTGCCTTCAGTAATCCTAACTAACCCTAGACTTTCCCCCTGGTCTGAGTTTGTCCTGTCATTTGCCCAGTGCCTAACCCTAACCCTAACCTAGCTAGACAAGGAAATTAGGGGGAAGTCTGGCAAGGGTTACCAGACTGGCAAGGGTGACCAGTCTGGCCAGAGTTGCAATATTTATTGCAACCATCCTACTGAAGGTCATTCTATAGAAGATAGTCTATAGAAGATTCTGAGTAAATAAAGCTTTTCAGTTTCATAACAGATCACGAAGTTTACTTACAAGTTACATGCATGTCTGCCTTTTTTCTTTCAGAAAAGCAAATTTACATTCGGGTTTGGCGATCTTAGAATTTGAACTCTTCTTTTTATTTTTCGAACTGATAAATTCCTCAATTTCCTCATCAAAAAATTACATCAGAAAATCCTTGAAAAGTCTTCCCTGGTTCAATTTTCTAGGAACGTGAATAATTTATAAGTAAAGGGATATCTTAGTTGGCCGATTTTGTGAATTGAGCTTGTGCACCGGCTGACACGGCTTCCGACGCTTATCAGATAAATTTTGATGAAATCCCAGCTACCGATCATCATTTTCTGACGGCTTTCACGTTTTGCTTCTTTTAAAAATCAGCGAAATATTTTTGCTAAAATAGCTGAATGATCAAATACCGAAAAAATCCAGCTCAGCTTATTCTTCAATTTTCAAGCATAAATTAACAAATGTCCATTTGGCATAATTAATCCTGCTCAGATTTGTTTGCAAAGCTCTGTTCCAAAAAAGCGGTAAGCGCCATACAATGCTTTGCCAATATGTAAATCCTGTTTTGAGACAAATTCGAAGAGTTGAAGTAGTGATTTAGCTTCAAAGAAAAGATCCACTTCATTTAAATGGCGATTACTCAATCAAATTATTCGAATTTTGATTATTCTTATGCAACGAATTCGGAATCACCTTGGTGCTGAACCTTGGAGAAAATACGGAAAAAAGCGGGGAGAAAATTTCTAAAAGAAAATCAGTTTGAGATTATGGAAGACGGACCAGTCCGGCAGAAGAATTACCCAGCTGAAGATCGTTACCTGCCAAAAGGCCGCTTTCGGGCTGCTAAATATGGACTTCCGACTGAAGAGTGACAAAGAAAAGGATCTCATCGCAGATTTCACAACTCTCGGATTCTCTTCTCTCTTGAAAACCTGTGTAGAAACCTGAGTCAGGGTTTAGAAGAGAGCTAAAAGAATCAATAGCGGCTTTTGATTGACACTCTTTTGGGACCCTGACTCAGGTTTCTACACAGGTTTTCGAGCAGATAAAAAGGGAGATCAGATTCTTAAGGGCGTCAATGCAGTAAGATCAAAGTTTGAAGCGGGCTTCTCGTAGAGTTAACGGAAAACAAATAATTATACTTGTACCCTTGTTCATATCCGCTCAAAAGATAGTTGAAGTGTTTATTTTGTCCTATGAAAAATAATTGCCCTAAAATAAATACGGCAAAATAAGGAGGTCACTATGATAACTTTTTAAAAAGATTTTTCTGAAAATTGAGCTCCATTAATCAAATTATTAGCTGTTTCTTGACATATTCACTTCGTAAGCTACTATTTATCGTTCAGCCAAGCTAAATACTTAATTGCTTGTGTACGGTTCTCGGCCTGAGCGAAATATTTTGAGATATTTTTTCGGCGATTTGCTTCCGTTCTAAACAGAGCCACGACGGGTCGGAAATTAAATCAGAATTAGGGGAATGAATCTATTACGGCGAGAACCTAAACGCGCTATTTTTAACCGACACCCTTCTCCTTAACGAACTTTGCTTTCTAATATTTGTGGTGGGAGATTTCTGAGTTTGGGGGAAAATTAATGACCTTCGAGTTTTTTTCGAAATTGATTTTAACTCATTCTGCTTTATTATTAATACCGTAATTACTAAGCTAATATGGGCTCAGCAACTTGTGTAGAAACCTGTGTCCACGACGAATTAGAGTTTTGAGTGACCCTGACACAGGTTTCTACACAGGTGAGCACGATAACTTGTGCTAAAAATCTGAGTCAGGGTTTTGAGAAATCTTTTACGAAAAGCCGCGTAGCGGCTTTTTTATAATTAAAGCCGCTACTTCAAAATTTATCTTCAAAATTTATGATACATTAAGGGGGGGTCGACGAGAATTTTTTCAGGGGTGATCGTAATTTCGCTTATACGCATAGTCTGGATATGAATCTTATATTTTTGGAATCTACAGATCCTCTCGAATCTGTTGAGCCTAAAATCATTTGATAAAAATTAGATTTAGGGGGTGAAATGAACAAAATTGTAAAAAAAATGACCATTTTTGGTGCATTTTCGGGAAAATGGCCCTACTTTGCCGGCATTTTTGACCGACTTTTTCTGGTCAAATTTTTTTCTAGTTTTCGTCGCCTTATTTTTTCAACCCTTTTCTATCCACCAAGAAAGTCAGATTTAGCCTATCAAATCAGGTTTTCCCGCATTTTTCGTCACGGAAATCCCGATTCTCGTCGTCCCCCTGAACGATGAATTTCAAAAAGATCCTGACTCAGGGTTTTTAGCACTCGTTGTCGAGCCCCGCTGCCAATTATTGACAGAAAAGGGAAAAATCCTATGTTGAAGCTGAGCTGTTTTCCGTGCTTTGTTCGTCACCATAGAATAAATAATTATTCACAGTTAAACGGATGCCACAAATGTCCATTTCTGACGTCAGCCCCAAACCTAGTGCATAAGCTGTTCACGCGGCTGAAAAATGCCATGGCAATTTATAGATTTCCGCCGCGCGTTCTGCCCATTGCGCAACGCAGAATTACTAAAGTCGAGCATAAGCAGGCACGTTGGAGCAAACAACGCTCCAGCAAGTTGCATTTGCAACAAACAACTTTCTTTTTTGCTACTCTTGCATGAAGCATGCTCAATTCATTCTCGAGTGTTCTTTCAACAAATTTTTATTGCAGAAATTTGTCAGTTTTCATCATTCATAGAAGGGATATCTGGCTCGCCTCCTATTTCGATTTGATCAATGTTTTCTATTTGCTGTGGGTTGACAGTTTTTTCTGGAACTTTCACATCCGTTTCTGTATCCAACCTCTTTTCATTCGTTTCTTGAAAGCTCTTGTTTTGCTCCCCCGGATTGTCTTGCTTTTCATGGTTATTGTCGGTTTCTTGCTCTTTGCTTCCTTTTCGGCAGCTGCTAAAAATAAATCCCATCTTTGCTTCCGAAAAAATATGAACGTAAAAATCACGTAAAATTCGCGAGAAATGGACTGGGTGATATTTGCTCTTCGTTTTTTTGCTTCACTCTATTTACAGTTTCTGAGACCAGTTTGGAGTCTTGGAGACAATTATAATGAGTCTCATGAGGAATAGGCTTGGCAGCCTGTATAAAAAGCCTTCGCCAAACTTTAAAAAGCTTTTTAGAAACGAAGCCGCTAAGCGAAGGTTATTTCAGGATCCTGACTCAGGTATTTACACTGGATCGTGACCGCAGTTTTTAATAGTATATTCTCGCTTTTTAGTGCAGACATAGCCAAGTTTTGAAACTCGCAAAGTTCAAAATCTAATTTTGAAAAGGAGGAGCTTCATTTGATTAATTACCATGATTTCTTTTCCGATAAATATTCTTTGATAAAGTTGTTTTGAAATCTCCCTGCAGCTCTGTTGCATAAATTCCGCAATTCTGTGCTGCGGCGATCGCTACTCATGAATATATAAAATATTAATCGATGTTTTAAAAACAATTTATCCGTTGTGTTTGGGCGGCGGTAAACTTTCAACACATTTATTCGTGATTTCGTCAGCTTTTGCGAAAAACGTATTCACCAAAAAAGAAAAACTCGCGTTCTTCTTTATCGAAAGTGGCTCCGCTCTGGCCACACTTCTGGTACCCAACCAGTTCTGATAAAAAACAACGCCTTTAATCGACAAACGCAAAAACAAAGTAGCCAATTTGTGCTGTTCAAATTAGAAAAATACCGGCCCAGAAAAAAAAGGACAATTTGTTGGACAAATATAAATTGAGTTTATGCAAAACAAAAATGAGCGAAAATAATCATCAGTAATTGCTCGTAATTATCTAAAGCTTATGAATTATCAAGGCTCCAGCTGGTCGATTTTATAAAATTATGAAAATTATAATTAAATCATAATTTAGACTTATTGAAAAATTGGTGGACCCTTATTCAATTTTCACTTTGAAGATTAAAAAAGTTTGATTTTGAAATTCGCTGATGGCTTGAGTTAAAACTCTTGAGATTAATTAATTTTCGCCATCTCCGAAAAGCCCTCGAAAAGGCGTTCCACTACATACCTGTCTCCTGAACGGAATCATTTCGATGTGAGATTTATGAATAAAATCTATAACGTTGCTCCACAAACATCAATCCACCCTTATTTCACCAGTAATCCTAATTGGATTCTGAAAAGTCTATCACTACTTTCTTTCTT